ACACACACACACACACACACACAAGGCAGTTCGTATGACTTGCTATGTGTGAACACCGACAAAAATGAAAATAATGTTGTTGTTGTTGTTGTTGTTGTTGTTGTTGTAAAAGAAAGTAAGGTTAGATGTGTGTTTGGACTTGTGAATGTGATAAAGGTGTGTGGCTCAGACGGTGTGCAACCCAAAATTCTAAAAATGTGCTCAACACAACTTAGTTCTATTTGCACCAATATTACCAACAGTCGTTGCTGACACTTGCTATTCCCACTATTTTGAAATGTTCTGAAATCGTCCCCCTTCCAAAGAAAGAAAAACATTACCGAGATGAATGGCCTAAGACCAATAGTCTTAATATCCGTAGTTATAAAATGTCTAGAAAAAAATTGTGCTAAAAAGACTACGAACATACATAGAACCCATCCAGGACCCTCTACAATTCGCATATCGTCACGGGAGAAGTGTGGAAAACGCCATCTGTTATTTCTTGACAACATAATAATATATAGACACTTAGACAAGCCAAAAACATACGGTAGGATCCTGTTTGTTGATTTTTCGTCAGCCTTAATACTATCCAGCCATCCATCATTTTAAATAAATTAGAAAACAAATGTGTTAACGTCAATTTAATATCATGGATAGTCAATTTTCTTACCAACCGAACCCAGTTTGTAAAATTAAAACATTCCTTATCGACATACATCACCACAAATTCAGGGGCCCTTCATTATTGCCAAATAAACAACAGTAACATCAATTGTTGATAACATTTGCGGATGATTCAACCATAGGTTAATTCAGGCTGACCATAACGAACAACTTGCCGGACTTTTGTACTAAATTTTCTGAACGGTGTGAAAATTATAAGCTGCTTTTAAATGTGAAAAAAAACCCAAAGAACTTGTTGTTGATTTTGGAAAAAACAAAAAACCCTGCCCCTGCAGCCACTCGAAATTAAATGTGAAAATATCGAGCCAGTGTCAGATTATAGGTATTTGGGTGTTACTATAGACAGCAAACTCAACTGGCGGGTCCACACTTCTCCCCTGCATAAAAAAAGTGAACAAAACTATTTTTTCTAAGGAAGCTCATGTATTTTAAAGTTGATAAAACATTGATGTCCATATTCTATCATTCAACCATAGAACGTATGATCAATTTTTGTATAACAGCATGGACCGGGAACACAAGACAACAAGATAAAGAAAAATTTGATCGATTAATACGGATAGCATGTAACATTTCAGCATCTACATTTCCCTCCCTAGATGAGTTGTACATAACAGCTTGCACTAACTAAATTAATGCCATCTTTTAAGACAACAAACATCCCTTGTTCCCTCAAATAAACACATCAGTCAGAAGTAAAAGACCTAGGCTTCTGATCTGTAACAAAGAAATATACACAGTGTCATCAAAATTCTTCCATCTTAACCATCTTGTGTAAGTATTCATATGACTTTAGACCATGCATCAGAATAACATTGAGTATGTATCTATCTAGCTTAAGATTGTCATTGTTTATATTGCTGCTCATTTATACTATGCGTGTGATTGTAAGCATGCGTGTGGGTGCATGTGTGTGTATGTATGTTTGTGAGTGTTTGTGTGTGTGTCTGTGCATGTGGTGAAACACCAAACTAATGTGCCAGGATCTGGACAATAAAGATGTATCT